CGCATGCTTGGTGGCGGACCTGGAAAAGGACTGGAAATACTTCCAGTCCACTTCCGGGTCCACCGCCAAGCACGCGGGTCCACCGCCATGCTCCTGTGGAATGCTCTATCTGCCCCACCATCACAGCATTCACGAGCCGTGTCTGGTACCTCAGGGTACGTAGAAAAAACATTTAAAGCTGTGTCTATGACCAAATCGCTAATTCTCCAAATCAGCATCAAATCTTCAGATTCGGATTTGGCCAAATTGAATCAAGACAGTGATCTGAATCAACTAATAGAATCACTGTCCCCAATTCTGGCCGAATCCAAATCGAATATGGCCCGGTTCACACATCTCTACTGTTTACATGTTGTTGCCAAAACGTAACTGCCTTTTCTAGGTCATCCTCGTTTTACTTCATTCTTTTTTTCTGCTGATTACTTTCAGTTTCTTTAACCTTATTGCAATATTACAGACTTGGACATTGCATGGCATTCCATTGTCCAGGGCCACTTCCAAACCTGTGTGACTCTCTCACGTTCCATTTAAGAACTAATGCTTATCTGCCTTAGTCACCACTTTCTTTAACTTCCATATATTTTCCATCTCTGCTCATGGTTCTTTTTCCAAGAGCCCTTTCTCTATAAAGATTTAAAGGTTTCTCCTTTTTTATGTTTACCTTCTCCCTTTCTGATGTTTAGTTCCTCTCACACGTATAAAAATGTGTGTGTGTATATATGTGTATATATAGATGTGCATATATAACCACTAATAAGCTGTAACTCAATGGTGTAGATACTGTTAAACACCTTTTACCATTTATTCCTGTCAACTGTATACATCATGTCTTGACCAAATACATTCTGGCTTATTTTCTTATCTTAGGAGACCTTACCAAGCATCACTCTCTCTGAATTATTGACCCATATATATTCTTCCACCCCTCTGCTTCTATCCAGTCTTGTATAACATCCAGGCCACTAATTAAGTCCATTTTTCCCATAGCCTCCTTTTTCTTGTGCCTCCACTGTTGTCTTTTCCATCCTTCTGGCCTTCACAAGTCCCAGTTCTCCAACATTTTAAAAATTCCATGCAAAATAGGATGACCACATCATCCTGTCACAGACTAGTTTACTCCTGCTCTTTAAAAAGACTCCTATTTTTCATGAGTTAATTCAAACCACTGAATCCCACATGCCTAACCACTGCCTCAAGTTATGGATCACTTGGGCACACACTCCAGGTATACATCCTGCACCCTTTTGGCACTGGTATCATGTTTTCTTCCCTGGAGGCAGTGCCTTAGACATAATGAATTCCCAGCTTACCTAAGCAAGATCTCTCTTGAGTCTTCCTGGTTGTTTAAGCTGTGTTGCTAGTTACTACATGGCAGTAAAGCAAGGAGGCAGGTTTAATAAAGGAGTTTCTTAAAGAAATATATGCTTTACTCTTAAAAAGTACAAAAGAGTTACAGGTCTGGAAAACAACAAACACCTGATATCCCCCCTCCCTATCACATCTCATCCCCCCCCCCTTTTTTTTTAAGAATCCATGGGGTTTTATTTAAGTTCTTATGGAAGGCAAAGGCCCTGTTGCCTCCACTCTCTTTCAGAAAGTAAAATGACTCTTCCCGTTTGGCCATGTGGTTAGCTGGATAAAAGTGCAGCTCTGCAGCCATGTGCTCAGATTGAGGGAATTCTTGCTCCACCTTTTATCTAGACATACTTCTTTGAAGAGAGAGACCCTTCAAAAGCAGAGGTCCTGCCAGCAGAAATTCCTCTGGTCAAACAAGTGAAAACCATTCAATACTGATTGCCCTTAGATTATATTGTCACACCTTTTCAAAAATAGTTTCTTTCCAAGGGCCAACATCTTGCCACAACATAGATATCTCATTCACAATGACTAGGTCTACCTAAATCAAGGTGGTTGCTGGCTGATTTCACAGGTAAACTGCAAGCCAGGCAGCAGTTTTCACAGGCAGAGCGCAGCAGGCACCCCATGCCTCTGAGAGGGGGCTGAGAGGCCCCAATGGGTCAGCCTCTTGCTGCTGGTTGGCTGCGAGTGCTGTCTATCATGCGGCCCCACCCCTCCCTGCCGATTGGAGGCCATATGCTGGACAGCCCTTGCAGCCAACTGCAGCAAGGGTGGCAGTCATCTTGCCATGTCAGCAGCCCCACTTCCCCCATGGTGGGCTGTGTGGTCAGGCTGTTGTGGCCACAAGGACTGCTGGCTCCCCAGAGGGAGCCAGCATTTTATTTTCAGTGAGGGTTTTTTTCCCCAGAGATCCTGCCAAAAGCACAGATCCTGTGCTTTTTCACTGGGGCTGCCTGAAATTCCAGTTTCTGTGACAATTGTAAAATCGCAGTTTTGCTAGGTCCCTAACAATGACAATTTAAAGTCACAGTAGTGTTGCTAAATCAAATGGAATTCATAACTAGATACAGGCATATTCACAAAACTGTCATATACTGCCATTTTCAGAGCTTCGTTGTCTGCCTCTTCATTTCTATATTGCATTTTGGATTCTGGGGGGGAAAAGTAATGCTTTTTAGGAACTACTCAGCACACACTATTAGTTTCCATCTCGTGCCTCTATAGTCCTCAGTCTCTCTGCTCTTCAGTCCTCTTCTGTTACTCTGCTAGTTTACACTGTTTTTGGTTTGCAAAATTTCCTCTACAGATTTGCCATCTGGAGCAGTCATGCTGTATTTGTCTGCTTCATTGACTTTCCAACTTAATTCAAATCATACTGAAAAAAAAATCTTTCCCCCTGCCTATACTTCATTTTTCAATCTCTTTGACTTGTTATTCCTATTAAACTGAAAATAATCAGCGATGACCATATGTTTTGGAATAAATTCCTACCAAAATGTGGAACATATCAAGTTGTATATTTGTGACCCAAAATACAGTACCTCTTCTAGAGCCTCATGAGTACACAAATGTAACATGTTTATTATAAAATAAATGTGATTGAATATACACAAAGGCAATAGTGTAGTGGAAGAATGTTAAGTTTCAGTTTAAGGAACTATCAACTTGAATTCAGAAGTGCCCATGTCACTGTGGTTTTACATTGCCGTGTTGATACTTGAGTAGCACCCATTCTGGTGTCAGACTGTTGTGTGATGTTCCTCTCCAACCTGAGCAGAGGCTGGCATGCAAGATTCTCAGGATCCACATGCAAATCAAGAATCCCTGGCTTGGTACCATGTCACTTCTGTAGACTATGCATTCCTCAGAAGAGAAGCTGACAGGATTCAGTGATTCTGGGTCATTTTCCTCTATAATCCTCAAGAATGATTTGTCAGTTTAATACTGTTAAAAGATTTTCAGGATTTGAACACTCTGTCAAAAGTGCCAAGATATGACTTATTTTAGGAATGTTGTATGTTAAAAACAAACAAAACAAAACAAAAAACCCCTTGCAATATCAATAAAAATGCATGTCTGACTAAGATTAAACATCATTCCTATGTGTTGGAGAAAGGGCATATCAGGGAACTAATATTTCCATATTGATAATATGATACAAGTTTAGATATATTGAGGAACAACATTTTATGTTGTTGCTGTAGATTTAAAAAGTAGATGCACTATATCTTTCAGATATGTAGGGAAGGTAATTTTCAATAAAATTATGAGAAAAAATATAACGAAACCAGTTCTAAAAGCATTCTTCAGTATTCTTTGGGCTCTCGGTGGTGCAATATAGCATGTGGATCAGGCAACTACAAGAGATTTTTAGCATATTCGTGTTTCTTTTTATGTATTTTTAAATGACTTCTCAACTATGCACTATGGATGAGAGAAACTAGCATTCATTAGAGATAAAAAATGGAAGTTTGTAGATCAAACAGATGTCATTCTAGCTGTGGGCAGGTTAGGAGAATGGATATTTGACCTGCATTATAATACCTTTTAGTTTTTACTCTGTGAATTAGAAATAAACTTGGCTCACTCCATTTTTAAAGAACGTGGTTTCAGCAGTAGGAGGAGCACCCTGATTGGTTTTAGTGTAGGCAAAATGAGTCAATTTACCAACCTGAAGGAAAGAAAGGCTTCTGAATAGGTTTGGTTCCATGATGCTTTCTCTGGCTCCAAGATATTGTTATATTTTGAAGCATGTTAACAGCTAATGTCTCTTTTTCTTCACTTCTATAAGAAAAAGACATACGGAAAAATTGACAGAATTTGTCTCGACTATTATTCAATACTAATGAGTACAAAGGTGGTGTTAAATATGCTGTTCTTTGCCTAGATACATGAAGCACTAGAATAACTGAAAGTGGCCAATACTTAATTGCCTAGTCACTAATGTCTTCCAATGATATGTCCTCAAGGGGGAATTTGGGTGTGTAAGTAATGCAGCTGTACAAATAATGTATTTTCCTGCCCCATAGTTAAACAGAGATATGTTTCGAAAAAATCATATTAGGTCTACTCAAAATTATATTTTAAATTGGAACCTACCCCAACAAATTGTCGTGTTGAACAAACTATTCTGTTTAGCTTTTGGGACTTTTAACCTTTCCTCTTCTCTTAAAAGTGTTGTAAGCAAAGACATTGTTTTGACCCAAAAAGTTGAGACGTTCTTTTTGAAAATATCAACAAGAAATGTTTCAGCATTTTAAAAAATTGTTTTCCATTTTCTTTTCTTTTTCTTTTCTTTAAAACCCAGATCTGTACATAGCCATAAAATACCAGATTTTCTTCGGACTCTTTTCTCACTTCTATTTTAACTGTCAAATATGATCTAGCACTCAGGCTACATGGAAGGTGCCCTGTAGTCTCAACTATAATTTAAGAGAGGGTAATTAAAACACTTAGTATCCCACAGGATGGGATCTTTAAAAATAAAGCCCTTTATTTACAAGGAAACGGTACTTTTTCTTCTTCATTAAATAGTCAGTATTTATCATTGCACTCTGCATTAATTCTAAATGAGACTGCAGACATAACAGCTTTTGTATAGTGAAGAAATCCTTGTCAGCATAACCTTTCCTTCTTTTTAGGCTTACCACATTTTCAAGAACAAAAAGACTTAAAAGGATTACTAGAAAATCTCCATCAAAATATCCAGTCCAAAAAAAGAAAGAATGTAGAAATCATGTGGCTGGCTGCAATGGTAAGCTTTCTAGTTTTCACCACTTTCACATATGATGCACTAATTTTCCATATATATTTTTGGTATTTTAAGGAAACACTCAGAAATTATAGTGATTGGAGTCACAGAAGCAGCTACAGAACCATGGAGCTATATTTGTCTGGTTTTATTCTGCAGATATTTTTAAAGAAAGAGACCTTGTTGTGGGTCTAGCTGGCCTCTCAACACCTGAATCCCCTAGTTCTCAATTCCCCAATTTCCTCACTACTAAGGGCTCCATTGCCAAAATTATGAAATAAAAAATATATATAATTCAACCCCTTATATCACTGCTGAAGACTTATCAGTATCCTGCAGTTCATCCCCAGGAGAAGCAGCCTACATTTAAGAAAATTGTTTATGGTGAAGCTTTATGAAAAAAATTTAATGAGATTTAGTAAAATACAGTATGATATGCATATCTACATACCAGTCCTTCGCTTAGCTCTACATAGTCAAATGCCTATGCCTGTACCTATACCTATGAAAATCATTACAACCCCATGTATGTACAAGAGTGAATTCTTGTACAATGCTGTAGTATCAGTACCTTAGTTAATAATGCATACTCATCAAAATATTAACTAAATTGAATGTTATTTCTTCCTAAATTTAAACTAAATCCATCATTGTGGGAGTCCAAATTTCAATTAGTCGAGCCTATCTTTTCTTTAGAAATGAGGGGCATGATTCATAGATTCATAGATTGTAGAGTTGGAAGGGACCACAATGGATCATCGTGTCCGACCCCCTGCCCCTAGCAGGAAAGAGGACCGAGGTCACATGACCCCAGCCAGGTGACTATCTAGCCTCTTCTTGAAGACCTCCAAGCTAGGTGATAGCACCACCTCTCTTGGAAGCCCATTCCAGATCCTGGCCACCCTTACTGTGAAAAATTTCTTCCTAATGTCTAACCTAAATCCACTCTCAACTAATTTACACCTGTTATTCCTAGTCATTCCCTGGGGTGCCTTAGTAAACAGCGCTTCCCCTATTCCCTGTTGACCTCCCCTAATAAATTTATAGGTGGCCACAAGATCTCCCCTCAGCCATCTCTTGTGAAGGCTGAAGAGATTCAGCTCTCTCAACCTCCCCCCATAGGGTCTATCATGAAGGCCACTAATCATGTGAGTGGCCCTCCTCTGGACACTCTCCAGATTCTCCGCGTCCCTCTTGAAGTGTGGCGCCCAAAACTGGACACGGTACTCCAACTGCGGCCTGACCAGTGCCGCATAGAGGGGGAGCATCGCCTCCTTTGATCTATTAGTCATGCACCTGCTAATGCACGACAAGGTGCGATTGGCCTTGTTGATGGCCTCGTTACACTGCCGGCTCATGTTCATCTTGGAGTCACTTATGACTCCAGGATCCCTCTCTGCCTCCCAGCTGCTGAGAAGGACACTCCCCAACCTATAGGTGTGCTGGGGGTTCCTCCTTCCCAGGTGGAGTACCTTACATTTATCTTTATTAAATTGCATCCTATTTCTCTCTGCCCATTGATCCAACCTGTCCAGGTCAGCCTGAATCTGCTCCCTGCCCTCCGGTGTACTAACTTTGCCCTATAAATTGGTATCATCAGTAGACTTGGAGAGGGTGCTCTTCATGCCCTCGTCCAAATCGCTGATGAAGATATTGAATAATATCAGTCCAAGGACCGAACCCTGCGGGACCCCACTGCCCACCTCCCTCCAGGCCAAGAAGGAACCATCCACCACCACTTTTCTGGGTGTGGTCCCTAAGCCAGTTGGCCACCCACCTGACCGTGTACGTGTCAATTATGATGAAAGATGCAATTCCTTGATTTACTACTTGTTTCATATTTCTACACATCCTCTTTCTCATTCTCAATTCTCATTCACTCTGTCATTAGAGTACTTTAACTTTGTAAGCAACTGTTTAGCTGCTACTCAACAGGAATTCCAGGAATCAAGTTTAAATAAATAGTACTTATTTTATTCATTTGTCTATGTCATCATGGCATGTAGGCATGCAATTTGATGATTTCTAGCATGTCTGGGACTTGAACTGGGCAGGGTTATTGTCCCCGGGATTAAAGATATACCTTTGCTACCCTTGTAAAGTTTTGTCCATTTATACCAACTATGAGTTTGGCCTTTAGTATATACTGTAGTTGAAATATGAACTCTTTTCCTCCTGCAAATTCTAAAATGCACACACTACTTAAGTCAAAGTAATGGCACAGTAATACAAAATATTAGTATAATATGAACTGCCTTTCATTAAAAGTGTGAATTACAAGTTCCCAGTTGTGAATGACATTCACGTACTTTCCTTAGTAATTAATAATGTTGCCTTTTTATATATTACTAAAACAATTTCATATTGAGACTAATACATTTTATAATACATTTTTCAATAGCAGTCCTGTAATGTCTATAACAATAACATTTTTCTACAATGCTTATAACATAGCTTTTAGAAGACATAAAAGGTAAATCAGTATAGGTCTTTATAAAATATTGTGTGAAAATCTGAGCAAGACTTACTTTAACTGTCTTCATTATGTTACATATCCCCTAATTTATGCTATTATGAATAAACCCCCTGGTTCTGATTAGTCTGAATCCTTTGATATTGATAACATAATGCATCAGTGTGTTTGTATTGGAAAGTCACAGTTCCCAGCTGTAAGGTATTAATGATGTTATTATGATATATATATATATTACCCCTTGTTATATTGGAACAATGGTATAGCTATACAAAATGTATAAAAAGCCTACATTTGCCAAATGGTTATTACAGACATTTAGTTTTCTAAAGTTAGTAGGAAAGTTGTCCATGTCCACTGCATAGAAAACATTGGCAAATACTATCAATATAAAGGTTTCCTGTAATGGTGACTACTGAGTAAGCAGTGAAAGCTAGATTTTGTACTTGTGGGTGCATGCCCCCATGCAGGGCTGTGTGCTTGCAGTGGCAAAAAAGCAGTGGCACAAATTTGTGCCATTATTTTTTGCTGCTGCACGCACCCCTGCTTGTATATTTTCATGCAGGGCAAAATGCCATTTTCCCACTCTTCCCAGCTCCCAGTGTGCTGGAGGAGTAGGGGTGGAATTAAAGGAAAGTAGGCCCTCTGGCCAGCAGCCAAAGTATCTCCCAGGAGGACCAAGCCTCCATGTCTGCCAGTGGCTCCTATGGTGTGTGCCCCTTTTTTCAGGTTTGTTTGTTTTTTTTGCTATCAAGATTCACCGGTAGCAAATTTTGCCCCCATGATGCAAATTTGTAATGCAGATCATGTTTTAATGTGCCAGGCATGTGGCTTGTGGCATCACAAAGAGGTTTGTGGCACCACAAACCACACACATCTGCACGTCTGGATCTGGCCAGTGGGTGCATCTACATGTGCCATTAAGGCAACACAATAAACTCCAGAGCTGTTTGAGATGGAGTCAACCTCTCCTGGATGTAGCATCTACATGTGCACTGAGGGCAGTAGCAGTTTGAGCCAGGATGGAGCAACCCTGGGCCGGCAGCAAGTTTGGGGTGGGGGTCAGCCCCAGGCTCCAGGTGGCGGCATTGGGTGGTGGTGGGGCTGGCTGGGGCATGAGGGTGCAAAATCTACCAGGTGGCAGGCAGCCTCTAGACTTTAGCACCCTTTTGCCCCAATCAGCCCCTGTCACCATCTACACATGCATTTTGTCACATTTAATTACTCTGCTTAAGATAGTACTGTCCTTAACAGTATCATCTTATTCTGGAGTTAATTTACTGCACCCTAATACCAGCGCTCATGTAGACAGTGACGCTTTACTACAGAGCTAATTAGTGAACTTCTCAGTAAAATTCATGTGTAGAGATGCACTCAGTTACACTTATTGATCTTCCTTAAAATCAGATTTTGCACTTAGCCTGTGAGTGAACAAAGAAACTATTTAACTGGATATAACCAGTATCTTTTCTGCTGCAGCATCCTGTCTCCAGCAGTGACTGAGATCTGATGCTACAAAGGACATTCTAAAAATTAAGTACAATTAGGGAATACAGCCCATAGAGAATTTTTCTTCTTAACACCAAATGTTTAGACCTTGAAGTATGAGAGAGTTCTTGTACCATATTTTATTTGAGGGCCTTGTAGACCCTACACTGTGAGCTGCAGAAATATTGATCAGTGTTAGTGCTAGCTCAAGTTTGGAGCAGTCACACTTCAGGTCAGCAGGGAACTGGAGGAATGAAAAATAAGAATACCCTCCCTTCCCATTCTGGATTTTCCCCCTGTCCCCTGCCCTCTGGGTCTTCCCTCCTTACCCCACAGTATTCCCTCTTGCCTCCTGACACTTACATGTGGCTGCCTGCTCTGTCTGTCCCAGGGAGGCAGGCAGGGAAGGGTTAACTTGCCTGCCCAGCTCTGCTGCCACTGCTGCTGGACTGCCCCTCTCTCAAGCCTGGCCCAGAGAGCAGCAGCCATGATGGCAGGGCCCAGGCAGGCAAGTTAACCCTTCCCTGCTTGCTCCCCCGGGGGAGACGGCTCAGGCAGACACAAGTAAAGGAGGAGGTGGGGACAGTGGGGTGAGGGGAACAGCGGGTCCAATTTGGACCAGCAGGGGAGGGGGGCGGGTGGGATGTCTATGGTGATGTGTAGCTAGAGTGGCTACACCTTAGTGTAACACAAGCTGGGTAGCAAAGATCAGAGAGAATCCTACCCTGGAGTGGTGTAACTTTGAGCCACATAAGGAGTGCTTAAAACTAGTTTCAGGTGTTAATGTGTGAACAATTCAGGTGTTTAGAGCTCCAGGAGCTGCCCAAAATTACCATGTAGGAAGGCCCTAATATAACTGTAGTCATTATTCATAAAACATCTGATCTCTTTTTAGCTAGGATTTTAATTGAATGTGGTTTTGCACCACTGTATTCCATTAGGTCTGTGCAACCCATTAATTCTCTGCTATGTAATAATATTTTTTAATAGTTATAAATATACTGTCTTTCCATTTAATCAGTTGTACCCTTGATATTGCATC